AGCGTAAGGGAAGGAGAAGCAATAACGACCTGAGTGGAGAAGGAAGAGGGTAGAGAGGGGCAAGAACAAACAAGGAAGAGAAACTTCAGAGTCAGACCAGCACTCGGGATTGCGGAGGGGCTAAGAGCAGTCCAGTGGCTGAGTGTTTCAACAGAAGAACGCAGCACGGTCTTGAGAAAGGTAGAGTAGAGCATGGTGAGAATGTAGGAGAGAGAGATTAGCAGGAAAAGAGGGACTTAAAAGTGATAAAGAGACAAGCTTGATTTGACAGATGAAAAAGAACAGAAGGATTCCAAGTGGAGGATGGCAGAGCCCCATGCTCAAGATAAAGAAGCTATTATTTTTGCAACAAGCTTTTCATGCGACTGGATCCTGTACAAACACCACACTGTGAGGCTGGCCTGGGACAGAAGGAGAAATCATGGATGAAACCAAACGTGCAGCAACAGAGAGACACCAGTGAAACAACAGCAAAAAAGTGCTGCAGGGAAGATCAAGGAGTTTAGAAGAAGGCAGTAGGCAAGGATCCTAGAGTATATGCTATATACTCCTGAGCCTGGAGGCAGGGTGAAGGGCGCTACATGCCTACCCTGAACAAACCACACTTCTGTATTTGGCTTCACTGTGTCAGCACGACTTAGTCTGTGCACAAAGCTCGAGGCTGAGCCTTTGGGAAATCGCTACTACAACTCCAAGCACTTACGGGATTGACGTAGGAATTTCTGGGCTGGGTTTCCAGCCTGGGTGATCACAACAACCTCTCTCCTGGACTTGGTATCTGTGAATCATTAGAGAAGAAGAGGTGACAAAACAAGAGGAGCTTCTGAGGTTTTGCCAGGACAGGTATCCAGAATGCAGAGCCATGCACCGCTCTAGCTGAAAAGTTTAAGCAGCCAAACAGAAGTTTATCACCTGCTCCTCGGTTCTCCCTGCAATTTTCCTGCAGGCCCCGCTCCTTCCCCTCCCATCCCTCGCCCTACTTTGCACTGACTTCCTCCTCGTTCTAAATGTTGCTTTACCGCACTAAGTGGTGGATAGTCCTAAGGGCAGTGGGTGGCCTCCC